AATTGAAATATGTGCGCTGGTAAAACAATGTTTGATGACATATTGGGTTTATAAGTACCAAAAATTCCTACACATGTCATCAAGGACTCATGGCCCAGTGGATAAAGACCTTGATTAGATCCAATGACTAGACCCAAAGAGTTGTGAGTTCAGTACCAGTCCACATCAGTGGTTAACCAAAATTTGAAGAAATTCGTTAAAGGGAAATAACTGAGATGTCTGGAAGAGGCATGGCACGTGGAACTAGAACGACCTAACTCCGTGGACGAAATAAAGGATTCGGTTCGAAACTCCAAACACCTGAAGAAAAACGTAGCATACAACGACTGAAACGTTGTGAATATAGCAATGAAGATGAGGATAACTGTCCAAATAATGTAAATAATGCAAGTAAACATTAACACATATTATCTTTTAGTGAAAAGAAAAAATACTAAGAGCTACAAAGGGTAGATAATTGTGGAGAGCCATGATTTTCCACATCCTGCAGGAATACGGCACATCGATGAAAAAGATGGTAAATTTGATTCTATTACCATTTATCTCGATTCGAAATAGGTAAAAGTCTATTTTTGTAAACGATACAAGGTTTTCAATAAATGTTATCTCGTCTAATTCTTATTTAGTACTGCCCAGTTATTTTTCGCTGAGTCCACTCAGGGATTGAACTCACAATTTCTATGTCACCAAAAATATAAACAACGCTTTAATACACTAGACTAAAGAACGCGACGCCTTATTCCTAGCAGAACGACAACAATCTACAAATACAGTTCGAAATTCCCTGACGGTTACCCGAATCGACACATATCTCAGGAAGGCCGGAGAGTACAACGGCCAAATGTTCTGATAACACTCAACAAAGATGTGGACAATCTAAATAAATATAAATAATGACAACTCTTTATCCATGAAATTCCGACAAAAACGTCTTATATCGTTTACCAAGACTGTATATTAATTTACTAAATCAGGTAGAAAATTACAGCTCTATTTTTACTTTAACAAAGGGAGATAAATGCTTTCACTTCCGGACGTTTTAGAGAAAATTACCCATCTTGTTGCGGTGTTCGATAAAAATACTTAATATCAATGAGATACTCAATAACTAAGAAATATTTCTGTGATGAGGTATTATGTACACTATTTACATTATTCGGACTATTGTCCTCATCTTTGTCGGCATGTTCATCACAACGCTTCAGCCGTTGTACACTCCGGCCTTCTTCAGGTGGTTTGAATGTCGAACTGAACCTTTCATTTCGCTCACGGGGGTAGACTGTTCTAGTTCCACGTGCCATGTCTAAAGGATGTCAGTTGTCTCCTGTTAATTCCCCTCTGAAAGTTCTCCACTGCCTTAACCAGGTATTGAACTCACACTCTTTGGATCCTGTCCCTGGATCTAACTAACGTCTTTATCCACTGTGCCATGTGTCCTTGGGCACGTGGAACTAGAACAGTCTACCCCAGTGAGCGAAATAAAGGGTTCAGTTCGACATTCCAACCGCCTGAAAAAGGCCGAAGTTTACAACGGCCGAAACGTTGTGATAAACATGACGACAAAGATGAGTCCGAATAATGTAAATAGTGAACTAAGAAATACTTAATATCTATTGAGTCAGAGAAACAATGATACAAGAAAATCTCTTAAATATATAAACCGTCACTGATTCTTAAAAGCAATACGCAGTATATATATGCATACGCATAGTATATCTAAACAAATCTCACATGTGCATGGGTGTTGGCATATATAAATTTAAATAAGTATTTGTTCGAGAGTATTTATAAAGGATATAAGGTGAAATATTATATGTTTTCGTTATTTTATTATTTTAAAGCAAGAAAATGGTTTATTTTAATTCTTAATATTGACGCCATCATAGAAACATTACAAGATGTCTTCTTTCAAATAAGAGAATTAGACTTCAGAACATAAATATGCCACGTGACAAAAATTGACAGCATCAAGACAGACAATTTTAATGGACTCAGCACAATGTGAATAAATAATGATGGATGAATAAAAGAAAGGAAACTTTCGTTAATACAATATTGATGCTCGACAAGAAAGTTTAACAGAGTTACTTTTATATATTTTAATTTTAAATTGGTTTGTTGTATGTATAGATAGATAGATAGATAGATAGATAGATAGATAGATAGATAATCAAACAGACAAGCAGACAGATATAAACAGACTGAGATAGATAGATAGATAGATAGATAGATAGATAGATAGATAGATAGATAGATAGATAGATAGATAGATAGATAGATGTGTTTTATAGCATATTGCTACACAAACCCAACTTGTTATGTTATTTCTGAAAGAGTTTAATAGGAGTTTAGAGATTTGCCTGTCGTCTGGTTTACATTCCTCCCCGGTCTTTTGAAAAGGAGCAAAGTTTTATGTCTTGGTTCCTGTTTTGGATTGGGTTTACTTCTAAAGTCTTTTTTATTCTCTTTCACACGCAATGGCCTCTTGCATCTTAATGACTTTTTCGCTTTGCTTGGGGTGAATTGATCAAAAAATTATCTCGGTTATCAAGTCTTTCCTGTCAAGAACGTTGTTAATGCCCCCCTCCTCTGAATTCCATGAGATAAATGCATCTGTCCCCCAAGACTCTCTTTTTTTGTATCTTCTTTCTGTTTTATGTCAACGATTTGCCGCAGGACATTGATTTTGATTTGATTTGATTTGATTAACGACATATCGACTCATTATGGGTCATTTAATTTCGAAATTTCATTTTCTTGGGAGCTTTGAAGTAACACAAATGTTATTCTGCTTTCACAATTAAATACATGGAAGATGATATTCATATTTTCTGGTAGTTTCAAAATTCACCATTCTTGGCAAATTTTCTGTAATCGCAATGTGAGATATTTAAAAACAAAGATGATGAAAAGAAAAAAAAATGAATATCGACGAATTTGGCAACATTGCAAAAAAATTGTTTTTTAAAATTTTGAAACTTCCAGCGTCTCTCGTTCATACGCATGTGTAGTCACAACAACGTCAAAAAATCCAGTCCGATGATGTTCTAACGGATGAAACGCGTCACAAACAAATTTCTTCCATTTTCTCTTACAATATATATATATATATATATATATATATATATAGAGAGAGAGAGAGAGGAAAATTTATATCATTACCGATATTTTAATAATTTATGATCTTTATTCTAATTAAATTTAGTTAATTCCACAAAACAAAACAAAAAAATCCGGAGATGCACTACTGATGCTGTCACTTTCCCACCACCGTAATCTTGCCTCTTTTGTCCCTTTTCTATACGTATTTTCATGGTAATTGTTTGGATGAGCTCTTCCCTATGAATTTAAGCACAGCAATAGACTGGTGTCGAGATAGCATTAATATACAGTTGAGCTGGCTAAATGTAGCAGTAAGTTGTATGCTAACAGTTCTTTTCTCGCACTTCTCGCTTGTGGAACTCCCTTCTGGCCACATACTTTCCAGCAAAAATTTAAATTCAATGTCAATCGCTCTCTACTGTGCTCCTAATTACTTTTTCCCTTCCCCGTTCATTTTTAATGTTTCTGTTCCTAATTCTTCCGCACCTTGTAACTCCTTGTGTCTTAGTGGCTTTACTGTCTTGCATGGGGTGATACTGATTAAAAGAAAATCAGATAATCCTTTGTTTTCGAGTTATTAAGTTAAATGTACAATTCAATATAAAATCCAAAATTACTTTCACAAACTTTGAATATCCAGCCATTGTGAAACGGATCACTTCTTAGTTAACTCACTACTACACACATTAAACGGTGAAGACAGACTAGTCACAAACGTACACGAATGACAAATGTAACCTAGTCTACATGACAATACAGCGTCATCTACCGTAAACTTTCTTTAAACTTAATAACTCAAAAATGAAGTATTTGTGGACATATGTTTATATGGACTTTTGTTCTTGATTTTGGTGTGAGAAACCCGCCCCAAATTTTGTTAAAGTATTTCTGATACACCATATATATATATATATATATATATATATATATATATATATATATATATATGAAGAAATATAGTTTTAAGGTGGGCTATATTTATGGGATAAAATGCTCAATATCAGAGATAGAGCGTATGAAAATATAAATATCAAAGTGAACATTGAAGTCAACACTCAGAGGCGACAATCTGTTTCATGCTGGACACAATCGTCTAGCATGAAACAGCCTGTCGCCTCTGAGTGCTGAGTTCAATGTTCACTATATATATATATATATATATATATATATATATATATATATATATATATGGTGTAATTGAAATATATGAGCTTTCCAGACCTAACTGGAATCAGTCATTGAGCTTACTTCATACGATATATACATGCATTAACACACACCCACACATACATGTGCACATACATGTGCACACTCACTCAGACACACACACACACACATATATATATATATGTATATATATATATATATATTAATATTTATGTACAGGCACTTACAGATGCAGTCATGCAAATATTCACATAAACACTCTTATACGTAAATGCATCTACACATATGGGTTCTGTCATTTGTTCTGTGTGCGCGGAAATGTGTCATTTTCTTCTCAAAAATATAGATGACGACTTTACGAAAGCCATGTTGACATTTCCGCCCCGCTCCACACGGACCAGGTGTCCGTTACTAATACGATTCTCACCCCTTTTAGTAAGTGCCCCACGCACATGGCGTACGGCCGGCAAAGACACCGTCCCTGTGACGGCAAACGGCTGTTCTTAATAAGGTTACCGAGCTGTCTTGACCCCGGACGGGACGACCTGAATGTGGAAAAACGGACAAGAAAATCACTGCTGCTTCTTAATGAAGCAATTTTCTTTTTTCCTTCTATTATTTGAGTTGTAGTCGAAATGAGAGAATAGCATTGTCGAAGGCGGGGGGAAAACGAAAAAGATGTGTGTTAAATGGAAGAGCAGATCGGTTGGACGTTGTAGTTGTTAAAATGAATGTCTATCACAAAGCGGACGTCTGCTCTTGAAGTGCGTCCGTATGGAAACAAATTAATACAATTACGACAGTGAAAGCTAGTCGCCATGTTGGGTGTGGACAGGAGACGATGATGACGAGAAACGCTGACTGATATGGCGGGAAAACCGTAGTGATGGTGGTGGCGACAGTGAGTGCAAAAAGAAACTAACGTAACAATAACCCAAAGAAAAAAAATTAAATAATAAAGAATAAAAAATGATGAAAGAAAAGATTGAAGTATTTAAAAAAAAATACAAAGAAAAGAAGAATAAAAGGAGGAAACAGGTACGGGTTGGCTAGAATTGATGATTGTGTCCGGTTGACCGATTCTTAATATGACAATCTCAACTATTGAATGTTCCATTTATCCAAGAAAATATCTTTTTTCCTTTCCTTTGACACTTGTATACATAGTGTTGACAGAAATACTGACGAACGATTGAAAACATTTTCCCACTTCCTCTCAGCTTCCTTTGTAAGTCCTCTTCTTTCTTTCATCCTTTCTTTCCTACTCTTTCTTTGCCATTCTTTCTTTCTCATTCTTTCTTTAATTATCGAAATTTCTTTCTCTTACTTTCTTCTTCATTTTTTCTTCCTCGTTCTTTCTCTATATTTTTTAAATATCTTTATTTTTCTTATTCTACCCCCCTCTCTCTCTCTCTCTCTCTCTCTCTTTCTCTCTCTCTCTCTCTCGCCCACGCGCATTCGCTCGCTCTATCTTACACACACTTTCATTCAATATCCTTTTCTGAGTGTCCGTTTCTTTCTGCCTTCTCTGAAAGGAAAGCAAATAGGAACAAATTTTCCTCTCCCTGCGTCTCACTTCATACCCTCTTCCTCTATTTCTATGTTCTTTTTCTTCTTATATCACTTTCTTTCTTTCTTTCTTTCTTTCTTTCTTTGTTACTTACTTTCTTTCTTTTCTTCGTATTTTTTCTTGCTTTCATTGTACTTGTTTCATATTTTTCTTTCTTTGCTTCATTTTCCTCTTCTTTCTTTCTTTCTTTTTTATTTCGCCATTTTAACTATTTATTTCCTTCATTCTTTTTCTTCATATTTTTTTTTAATTTTGCAAATTGTTTAAACTATCTTTTATTCTTTAGTTTTTATATAATCTATTTACGACTTCTTTTTCCCTCTCTTCCTTTCTTCCCTTTTTCTCTTTCTTTCTTATATTGCCCTCCACTTTTGTTCTATTTCCCTTCCCACTGCCCCTATCTTTTCTTTTTATCAAGCTCGCTTTTATTTTCCTTTCTATTTTTTCTAGTCTGTATTTCCCGCTCATTTCTTCTGCTGTCATCAGAACATGTTTCTGCTAATTTCTGTGTCATTTTAATCTGAGATCGTAATTGAATTGAATTCTGCTTTTTTTTTTTTTTATTCTTTGGATTCTTATTTTTTGTCAATTCATCTTTTAACTAAAAATTTTATCTTTTTATAACACATCTTATTTGAAGTCTTATCTTCATGCAAACGTGTCTTGGTTGTTGACATTGGAATAAGGAAATCTGTTAATATGTATGTATCTGTGTATGTTAATGGACACAGTTAAGCTTTTTCTCCTATTTTTCTGTTCATGATAAAAACTGTTACCGTATTGAATTTTAGGCACGAGAATTGCGTACTTTTCTGCGTGTGCATATAATCGTGTGTATTCATAATAAAAAAAAAACTTTTTTTGTGTGTCTTCTTTTTCTTGTTTCTACATGTCTAGTCCATCTTTATAAAACACCTTTTTTAAAGTGATTCTAGCCTGAATATATGGTGGTTTTCTAAGAGTAGCTAAGATGTGGTATCAGGCTGAAAATACACGACACCCAGTGAGGATCGTATTCACTATTCAGACAACCTTGTTAGCCATTACGCCACGTCCAAGTGCCTCTGACCAGCATATATGAATGATTAATAACTCCATTCTAAATCTGGAAGTATTAGAATTTTTGTTGACTTACAAAAATCGAAACTGGTAACGCAAAATATCACATAAAGATTTTGATCCTTTCACGATCACGACGTGGACGATTATGACTCTCCCCAAATTCCAATTTTATTACCCTTCCTCGCAAAACTTCCTTTTAGTTCTTAACAATGTTTATCTTTTTACCATTAATTTTATAAAAACTGACTTAGAGTGTTCTAACACTGTGTTTTTTCCTTAAAATTTAGCAAATGGCAAGTCAAATGTTCATGATTAATCAAGTGGCTTAAACGCGGACCATTAGCACTTTTAAAACTCTAGAATTTGTTCCATGACACTGACCCATGTTTAAAATCCCCGCAGTATTTATTATTGTTTAAGTTATCACTAAAATCTTCTGTCAAGATTTAAAAAATCTATGTTCACTTTTACAATCGATGAAATTTGAATAAGCTGATTCGTTAGTAAAAATACTTAGGCAAACATCCTACTCCACGGTTTAATAATTTCTTTAATTTAATTTAATTTTATAGGACTTCATGGTAAACAATATTTTTTAAGAAAATGTCTTTTCTTTTTTTTCTTTTTTAACAGGGAATGATAAATTCTTAGGATTTCTTACTCTTGAGCATGCAAAATACAACTGGCCGTGCGAAAATATTCCTTTCTGGAGCCAAATTCCAACTTTTTGAAGCGTTTGGCCAAGTGATTTGTTTATAGTTCTCGCAAACTCCAGACAAACGGGAAACTGGGTTCTTGTTAATATAAAAGCTTAAAGAAAAGATATAAAAAAAATATTGCATTTTAATTAAATAAATATTTGTTATTTTAATCATTAAATTGTTTTTAAAATAGTGGAAATATTTTATATGTTAAATAATAAAATTTTATTTTTTCCAAATAATTAATGAAAATTTATTGTACTTAGTTACGCACCCTAATAAAAGCAACCGTACTTTGTACCCCCTTACCTGTTTGCCCTTGTTCCTAAAATTTAGCTTCGATCGATCAATATATGTCTATCTTAGAGGATCGGACGGACGGATTAACGGAAGTAACAGAACTTTATATATAGATTTCCCAAGGGATGTATGTTATATCTTGTCTGAAAATAAACAGTCTGAGAATTTTCGGACTGGCCTAACTCCGCGTATTTGCAAATTATGATTGCTTGAAGTTAATCAAAACTCGCACATGTTTAATTATTTATTTATATATGATCGCTTCTGGATAGTTGCTTTTTCTGAATCGTTTTGCTAGCGAATGAATTTTGTTAGAATTAATATTTTAAGTGGAAGACATGTTTAAACCTTCACTCATCTTAAAAAATGACCTATATCAAATGAATATTGGGGCTCTACAATAAAAAAACTTCTTTGCTATATTTTGCATGCCTTTTTGTCTTGACACTACCACCAAGGTTGCCTGACGCTAACAAAAATAACAGCAACAAATCTTTATCTTTTGTTAGTGTTACTTCATATTAAAACAATTTAATTCTAAAAAAATGTAATATATTTAAAACACAGTCAATTCCTTTCATTACATTAAATTGATCATTACACACTTTTGAAACGATATGCTGAGCACCAAATAACAGTTTTCGAAATAAGTTTCTTTGTATTTATCAGAAAATTACGATTTAGATCTCTAGTCCTATGTTTTGGTGATTCCGAAGAAACAAAAATAGATTAAATGCAAAATTTAACCTCTTTTCCAGAATTTTTGGTTATTCAATACAAACCAGAATTTCTAGGCCTAAACTTATATTTCTTAATTAAAAATGGGTATGTTTAGTTTAAGTCTCCGTCTTAAATAAAATAATATTAAAACACTTCCATAACTTAGCTGAAAATAGTTCAGACGGCTCATAAACCATGAACTTTCGTTTGGCTCTGAGTACCTTTGTCAAGTAATTACAAAGAGTTTCTGGGTCTAGTCATATTTGTACGAATTACAGTTTTATTTATTTACTAAAAACAAAAGAGGAAACCTATTTTTGCATATTTTAACTGTTAAAACTTTCAAATTTATTTTTTATATTCAATTTTTCAAAATAAAACCTTTTTTATATTCATTTTTATAAAAAAATAAAACCTTTTTTTATAAAAAAAAAATGAAACCTTTTTTATATTCATTTTTTCAAAATAAAACTTTTTTATATATATCCTTTTTTTATATTCATTTTTTTCAAAATAAAACCTTTTTATATATATCCTATAAAAATGAGGAAGAACACTCAGCATTTAACAAGAAAATTAAAAACTAAATTTACGATTTTTTGTCCTTTCACCCCAATCAAGGTAATAAAGTCACTAAGATGCAAGGGTTTACTGAGTGTGAGAGAATATGAGAAAAGAAAACATTATTAAGAACAACAACAAGGGGACATTTATTATGCAGACAGAAGATAACGATTGACTTAGTAGTATGTTTAAATATATATCGATAAAGACTATGCCCTAAAGAGGAAGCCTCAGTGACAATGAAAATATTTTAAATGTGTCAGGAATTTATTAAGAAGACAGATGTTCTATTTGGTCAGAATAACACAAGCCAGCATGTCTATTTGATAACCAGACAAATACTATAGTTTCGAAAAATCATGTATTCCTGTATTTGCCAATGAAAAAGAAATCACATTACGTGCAAGACTGAAACAATCCGTAAACGGGTTTTTGCATAGAAAGTTTCTGGGAGAATAGAACTCTGACATTGATTGGAAAAATGACAGAAGATATTGGAACAAAACTGTAAGTATGCATCTCAATCAAGTTTCATGAAAAAAAAAACCCAAAAAGGTCTTTTATTTTTACTATGAAAAAAAACCCCAAAAAGGTCTTTTATTTTTACTATGAAAAAAAACCCCAAAAAGGTCTTTTATTTTTACTATGAAAAAAAACCCCAAAAAGGTCTTTTATTTTTACTATGAAAAAAAACCCCAAAAAGGTCTTTTATTTTTACTATATGTTACACATGTAAAAATCTAATATCGCGTGTCGAGCGTCTCTGTTTAAGACTGGAATTATGAATAATGTTTCTTCATTTCTCGTACCTAATCAGGAAATATGGTTTTGTGTGGCATTCATATATTGTTGTCATGAGTCAAATAAGTTACTCCTCTGGTAATAGAGATAGGTTTTCTTTTTTCTCTGCTACAGTTTCTAGGCGTTTTTCTTTAAGCAGATGAAGTAACTTTGTAGCGCTCCAGTAAGTATCTGACTCCCTCTGCTATACTGTAGAAGATCCAGATAAGGCCAAAATTGTAGCATTGCTGCCATATCTGGACTGGAGCTACCCAGTCCTCAGTTGCCTGTCTTGATAGAGTTCAAAAGAGTCTACGCGGCCTTGTGGGTAATTGAATATTTTCCATCCTACAAACCATTACCCACAGCAGAAACATTACAAGTCTTTCGTTATTCTACAACTACTTCCATGGCATGTGTTCTAATGGGTTATATTCCTTAGTCCCACCACCCCTGACCTTTACAAATGAGACCCGCCCATCCACCTACACAAGCTTGAATCATCTCCATTCCCTTCGTATTCCATTAGTAAGGAGGAAATTCCACTAGTAGGGTTTTTACTGCTGCTTTGTGTAACAGACTCTCGGTAGAATGTTTTTTCCCAATGACTATGATCTTGACCTCGTCAAGTCTAGTGTTAACCGTTAAATTTCCTGCATCGCCCCAATGAACTTCAGTTTTTGCCTTTTCTTACGCTCATACAGCACGATACGGTAAACCTCTACCTTGAGTGGCCTTTTGACATTGTATTGGGGAATATTAACATAAAATATGCCAAACATTGTTCACACAATTGAATCTCTGGACATGTTTCAACTAATATGTTGTTGTTTTTTTAAATGTGTTATTGTTAACTTTACTAATATAATTTTTGTATGAATGATTCATTGTAATATAAATTGAACTGCACCACATATTTGATTTAAAAGAACTGATCCGACGTGCAAATTTTCGGGATAACAACTGAGACATTACTCTATTTATTGAACAATTTAGTTCATGCCAGATTGACTGATAAACTATTACAACAAAAAATTCTCAAATTGCCATATTAGTAAAAAAAACGCACTCTCTTAAATGTTCAAAAAATTCAACCTTAGCGTTGCGACTGCATGCTCCATAAGTTTGTATCCTATAACAATAGCATATCTTTAAAATAAATTTAAAAAAAAACATATTTCGATTCGCATTTTATTTTTCGTCTTGGATGCTACCTGAATTTTACCAAAAATAAAATAATTTCCATGTCTGAAGATGACTGAATGTACAGTTGAAAGTATTTTCGTATTAAAGAAAGACCTTATACAGCTCATAATTTTTACAAACAAGAATCATAACATTCATCGAGTGATTTTTTAGGTTAATGCACCTTTAAAATTTTGTTTTGAAGAGATTTC